GGGCATCTCCCTGGACATAGATGGCAAGATCGTGAATGAGCAGACAAGAGTCCTGAACACGCAGAAGCAGCAAATATGTAGGCATCCCATGGCCACAAAAATGTGCTTAATCCTCTGATCCCTCTTCAAGACCTTACGAGATTCCATGTACCGTGGACTGTGTTCTATGCAATTGATCATGATGCTCTTTCTGCTTATTGAGTTTCCTTGACCTGGCCTATTTTCCATCTCATCTTCAGGCACAAGCCCGGTTTCCCACTGTCTGCTGAGCCTCAGTTCTTAGGACTGCCATTCATTTGCCATTTTGCTCACCATCCCTTTGTACCCAAGCCTGGGGTACCTGTTGTGTGCCTTTTTGTGGGAAGATGTAGACAAACATCTACTCAACCTAGGTAGAACACAATGAGGGACCAAATAAACAATTTGACTGAACTCCAACATGGTGAAACAACAGGCTTATCAGGCTTATTTATGGAGAATTAATGAAGGAGTTACTTAGAGGGGCACGAATGACTGGCAGACCACTGCAACAACAAAAATGCCACCCCCAGCATGAGGTAAGACTCAAGACAGCTTCATCCTGGAGCTCTGATCTATTTCCACTACAGGACAGGAATGGAAATGGACCCTCCATACCTGCTGAGACAGTTGTTGAGGGACTACTTGTCTCTCACCCAGAGCAAACGTTGGCTAAAGATGTGTTCTGAGTGGTCAATGCTAAGCAGGGCAGGACGACTCTTTCTTTCTTTTCTTTTCTTTTCTTTCTTTCTTTCTTTCTTTCTTTCTTTCTTTCTTTCTTTCTTTCTTTCTTTCTTTCTTTCTTTCCTTCATCACCTTAGAGCCTGATCCCAGCTCCTCCCTCCTTTTCTTTGAGTCCCACCCTCATGCCCCTCCTCCCATTCCACATCTCTTTCTTCTCAGAGTACAGGAGGCCTACCCTGGCACCTCAAGTCGCAGCAGGACTAAGTACATCTTTTCCCACACTGAGGCCTGACAAAGCTGCCCAGCTTGGGGAAAGGGATCCAGAGGCAGGCAACAGAATCAGAGACAGCTCCTACTCCCTTTGTTAGGGGACCCATCTGTTGACCAGGCTCTCTAACCATTGCACCTTTAAGCCCACACAAAGGAAATGTGAGCTCTAACTTTCAGAGCCACTCAGAGTCTTCTGTACAATTTCCTGGGAGATTTGAAGCTGTTTAGCTGCCCCAGGCCAGGTGATAAGTGAGAAGTGGAAACCCTGCCTGTGTTTACAGCCTTTGACAAATGGGCTCTTGTCTTCTCCTGACAGACTCTCCCCTCCCTAACTGATGCTCCAGCCTCTGTGCTCATCACCAGAATCACCGTCCTCATCATAGTTTGAGATTCAGATGGATTTTATACTATAAATAAAAATGAATTCAAATGTCTCCATTCCCTGAGAGGAAACACAGGTGCTGTAATGTCACGCCTGTGCTGCCGTACACGGCCAGGCAGGGAGGATTACCTCCCATCACCTCTGCTGAATCCATATTAGCTCTGTGGCATTCACCCATGGGAAGCCATTATCCACAGTCCAGTATCAAGAAGCAGGGTACCACACTCCATATGCCCAGGATGTTTTCGGGTGGCATCTTCCAGGATATCAAAGGAGATGGAAGGACCCCATTCTGATGTGAGTACAGTCTCAGGAGCCTAGCTAATTTGCAGGATCAGAAGTCAGAGGAACAAAATATGACCATATCTAGGTATCTATTATGAAATTTTTCATCAACAACCAGGTGAGATTTTCCAAGTAGCAGTGAGCTTTCTGTTGGCCCCAAGGAAGCCAGGCAGCCAAGATACAGGCAAATGGGACAGAAAAGGAAGCCATCTTACTCTGTTGAATCTCCTCCAGGTGCCACCAAGCCTATCTGATAACCTAGGTCCCTGCAGTTGTGAAAGTAGAGAACCAACTTCTAAAAGTTGTGCTCTGACTGCCAAGTGTGATATATATATACATGTATGTATATATATTTACTTGTATATGTATAAATACATATATATATGCATATACATATATAATAAAATTTAAATGAAATATTAAAAATAAAAATAAAATTTAAAAATAAGACATCTCTCAGGGAACTTTGACTGAGTGTGGACTGTCATGGTTCTTCCAACCATCCTAGATACAACAGGGCGAGGATTCATTTCCAAACGAGCATCAATATCTAGCAAAGTAAAGCAAAGTAAGGCATGAAATTGAAAGAGTAGATGGCTCGTTCGATATGGTGTTGTGTGATGTGCACAAAGTCCTGAGTTGGATCCCCAGCACCACATCATTTGGCCTGGTAGCATAAGTCTGTAATTGGAGCACACCAGAGTTAGAGGCAAAAAATCAGAAGTTCAAGGTTAACTCAAGCTACACAGTGAGTATGAGGCCAGTCTGGTCAACATAAGATTCTCAAGAAAGAAAATGGGACAGAGGGAAGAGGGCAGCCAAGAAGGAACCTTACTGAAGCACTGGTATTCAAATATAAAACAAAACAAAAACAAACAAACAAAAACTTCTGTCAGTGAAATATACAGTAGGTATACAACTAAAGGTGAAGTTGGAGGGGCAGAACTGTTTCTACTCGGCAGAACATGTGGGAAGAGAGAAAGCAAAGGAATATTATTTTTAAAACACGCAAGAATGAAAAGAAAACCCAAGTTATTCTTGGATGCTGCCAGATCCTGGAAATAGGGAGGGGAGACATTGTTCAGCTTTCTCCACTAACAACACTCTAGCTTTAGAGGAAATCCTGCAATGTCTCCCCCCAGAGCAGTCAGTAGTTGTAAAAATACACACGGGGCCAAGGGGCCATTGCTTCTGAGACAGGCTTACTTATGATTGTGGCACCTCTGTCATCTCTTGTCAGAGAGATTAGTCTTGATTAGTTCCCCTTTATCACATTACCAATCTTTCCTGAAGCATTTAGGTTGCACAGAAAGGGACACAGGGGAACATGCACACACCCGAAGAAGATCCATCTCTTCAAATGTTTAAATCGTGGTTACAAATTATATACCATAGTCACAGAAGACCCGGGGTGCATTCTTGGGCAGAAATGATGGCCACTCCAGGGGCTACAGCAGCCACCTTCCTCTGTGGCCTCAAGCTGCATCTCTAGCACATGGCCACAGGACAGGACACGTGTTCTTTTGATGAGGCTGGAGGCACCTCCCCTCTGGGATACTTAAATTTTGATTGGCACTTTTCAATGGAGGGCAAGAACTCCAGGAGCTACGACATCCTTAGCCAATGAAACAGTCTGAGCAGGCTCTTTTCTCTGTGTACATCAGGATGGCTCATCACTGCCTGCTGTGGCTGTTGGACCCATTTGTGAATCAGTCATGTCAGCTCAACCTCAGGGAACAAGTGACAAACCTTTTGGAAATGTTTTATTTAAGATGCCCAACATAAGTCAAGGATATGTGAAAAGAAAAGGCTTTGTGTGTATGCACATGTGTGTGTGTGTGTGTGTGTTCCTCTTTCTCCAGAAGAATGTAAGCTATATAAGAACAAGTTCCTCCCCCAGTAAGCATCATGGATAAGCCATATGGCCTGGTGTTGATGATGGACAGGCAGGGCACAGACAGTAAGGGCAGGTAAAACAGAGCCCAAGGAGCTTGAAAATGCCAGAGCATGATCCAGCTCATCTGTTTTGTTAATGATAGAGCTGGAGTTATTCCTTCAGTACCTACTGCCCTGGTAGATTTCAAACTCTATCAGAAAGTTATTTCTTAAAAAATATGTTGGACATATATATACTTGTGGACACCACAAAAGTTTCAAGGAAAGGCAAAACATTTGGAATTTGGGAAGTAACCAAAGGAGCCAGCTTTCTGATCACTCTGACATGAGCTGGATCAAGACAAGCTGGTAGGGCAAGTCTATGAGTATAGTGTTACGTAAGTGGTGACTTCTCATGTCCCAGCTACGGATATCCGTGTGTGCTTATTAGAATGCTCTCCTACTGCACAGGTGACATTCCAGCACACACTTGGGGGCAGAACTCAGCTTAAACAGAACTGGAGTGTAAACATGAGCTGTTGTGATCAACACTCCAACAAAGCTATGCAGCAAGTCCTGTTCTGTGGAGTCATTTGACACATTAATCAGCAGATGCCCTGGCTGTCATGAAACCTTTGCTCAGAACCTTGCCTTGAGATAATGACTCAATGGAACCACATGATAGCACTGCAAAGAGAGGCACCTTACTAAATCCACACAGAGCACCAGGAGGAGCCAAGCAGCCCATGCCTCATGTTCTTGCATGTGTAACTTCTTTGAATCTGCCATATTAATAGGGAAATTCTGTGTGTTAAGTCGTGCTTTGCCACAGAAATATCTATGGACTTTTGCTAACAAAGAGAGGCTGGGAATATCGAAGAACAATGATCTAATAGTTGCTGCTCCTGAGGGGATCCATACCAAAACTAACAAACAAAATAAATGGGCAGGAAACTCATCTATGTCAAAGGTCTCCCATCTCAAACAGGAAGTCACGGCTCATGTGGATGGGTCCTGGAGGAAATGAAGGTAAGCTGTCTTTCAAGTAAGTACACATGAATCAGATACACAGAAATATACCCTGGAAGGCCAGACATCATCCATCTAGTCTATAACGTTATACTTGTAATGTTATACAATGGCATTATGATACATACGATGCATGCATCAAACACCAGCCATATTGATTTAAATTGTGACAGGAAGCATCAAAAAGTTATTTCTTTCTGAAAAGGATAGTGAAATAAAACCTCAGAACCACAGTTTTGTAAAATCTAATCATATTGCCCACTCTTCACTGCAGCGATCAGAAACAATGCAGACTGTGGGCAATAAAATGATAGACGTTTTAAGCAGTGTTTCCAAATATCAATGCACAAGTCATCTCCAGAGTATGGTCTGGTGAGGTGTGCCTGAAACTCCTGGGCTGCAATTACATCTTTCCTACTGTGTTTGAAAACAGAAAGACAAAAATATATAGACTTACCTTTCTGTCCTCTGTTTCCACGCAGCTATTGCAGTCAGCTTTGATATCCTGGAGGAGAAGAGAGAGAGGGAGAAAGAGCAAGAGTCAGGCTTGCGCTTGGAGGACATTCTGTGTTGCTGTTGAGGTGCCCTTTATATTAATAAAGAATCACACTCCCGGCAGTTCTTTCTCGAGTCATTGCACTTTATGGTGGTTTCTGGAGGTGTACATGGTGGTGTTTGCATTGGAGGCATATGAGAATTGTAAGGAAGCTTGATTATTATATGCAGATGAGGGGTGAACCTGAATGCTACAGGTCAGAAACCAGCAAAGAGAAATTGAGGGACATTAAAATTATCTCCCCCTTCTCCTAGTACCTTATTCATATACGGAACATTTTAAGTAGATTTAATGTACTCTTCTACACTTGTCATATGCAATTATGTCTGGCTTCCACACAAGCCATCACCATATAGTTTGTTTTTTCATGCTACTTCAGCCATCTTTTTTTCTTATCTATCTGTCCACCCATCTATATGCTCATCCTCCCAACCATTAATGTATTCACCTACCCAATCAGCCAACAACCCATACACTTACTCATCCAGCCATCAGTCTGCCTATATCATCCATCCCTTAGTCTATCTGCCCACCCATCCATCCTTCCATCCATGTAACCATCAGTCAATCTCTCTTCCCATCTACACATTTATCTATCCATATATCTATTTCTCAGTGTGTCTTCCTTGCCATCTGCTCATTCATGTGCCTATCTATTCATCCATCTATCCATCCATTAACTCATTCTTCTATTCATTCATCTACTACCCCATCCATCCACCCATCCATCCATCCATTTATCCATCCATTCATCTATATTCTTACCCATATATTCATTTACCTATCTATCCTTTACCCAGCTGTCAGCTAGTCAACTATATTTATTGCATTCCTATATCTGTTCAATTTTTGTTGGTTTTTTCTAATACAAAGGTGAAAATTATGGTTCCCAAACTTTATGGAACTTGCTAGATAAAAAGGAAGACACATTCACACAAGAAACTATAGAATTAATTTATGCAAAAGATTCACTGTTCAGAAGATAAATCATTAGGTAAAGACACCTGTGGCCAAGCCTGAGGGTCTCATTCAATCACCATACACAGTAGGAGTGATCCAACTCCAATGAGCTGCCCTTTGATCTCTACAGGTATTCAATGGCATGGAATTGCCCCTTCCACCGCACACATGAAATAAATGAACCAATGTAAAAAAGCAAGAGAGGTATATTTAGTACCCACTGATAACAGGCCAAGTTATGGGTACAAAGTGTCCAATAATATACAAAACACAGGAAAGACGTTGCCCTGGCAATGCTCACATTCTGGCAACAAAAAGTTAGGGTTAGGATTAAGGTTAGGGTTAGGGTTAGGGTTAGGGTTAGGGTTAGGGTTAGGGTTAGGGTTAGGGTTAGGGTTAGGGTTAGGGTTAGAGCTGGGAGATATAGGTAAGTTGTAGAGTACTTGCCGAGCATGGACAGCGCCATGGTTTCAACCCCCAGTATAACATGAACTGTACCTAGTGATGAATGTCTATAAGCCAAGCATGCAAGAGGTGGAGACAGGAGGTTCAAGAGTTCTAGACCATTCTCCACTAAACAGATAGTTTGAGGTTAGCTTAAGCCAATAAAAACCTGTTTCAAAAAGATTTTTAAAAAATCCAAAACAGAAAAGCTTCAAGAATGTTTCTTCTATCCCTTTCAGGAGATGCAAACCAGAAAGGGGGCAGTGTGAAGAACAATCTCAGGACTTGGGACACATTGGCACCAGGCGCCTCCTTCCCTTTCTCACACACACTCCTGATTTAATAGCTGGAGGCTCTGATGCTGGGATAGTAAATCCTTGGTGCCTGGAGCTCTTACCCATAGCTCACCTGTCACAGAACAAAAGCTCAAGATGAACAGAGCTTTGAAGAGGGGAAGAGTCAAGGAGTGCCTTCACCCTCAGAACTTGCATGAAGAGCTGAACCAGGAGAGGTAGGCCTGGGTTGCTGCTTGTCTGACATCCCAGCCAGTGGGAAGGCTGAGGGTAGAAGATTCCATATTCACTCCAGGTTTGCCTGGGCTACAGAGTCAGTGCAAGGTCAGCTTGGGCAATTGTTTGAAATTGAGACATGTTCAAAAATTAAGGCAAATCAAAGAGAAAGATATAACTTGTGGATGAGCGCCTGCTGGCAATGAGTGGGACTGAGGCGGCCTGTTACTGTTGTTGCTTTAGACACTGCTACCACAAATTAAAGTACAAAGATCACCTAGTGGACACAGCGGGCTGCCCTGACACCCTTTCTTTTAGCCTGTCTCTCTGACCAGGTGAAGCAGGGATGAACTCCTTCTCCACAGTAGAAAGACATAAGTTGGAAATGAAAGGTCAGAGTCTACTGCCCCTGGAAGAAATGGTAAGGTGCTGATATATCAACTGAAGAAATCAGCTGACCCAAGGAAGGTTTCTGTTTTTAATATGCTATGGAGAGCTCACCTGAGTGAGGGGAGGAAGAGGGAAAACGCCACCTGGCAGGACAGGAGCCCTGCGGCTTCTCTTAGATTATCCAATTTATTCTTGTCAGGATTAATTTACTAAACCTGGGCTGGATTTTTTATTTAGATGATATTGTTGGTTTGTCATGCGCCTCAGATCCGCACTGAAGGCGCCCCAGGGGACAGCGCTCGCTTCTGAACAATGTTGGGCTCAAATTGGAAAAATGTCACTTTGGGCGCGAACAAATTATTGTTCAGATCGCTCTGCACAGAGCGAGCGTCTCCGGATGGGTTCCGAGGTGACCTTTCCTGAACCCAAGACGTTGCATAAGTACCTCAGCCCTACTTGATAACTTCACTTGGAAAATCACTCAATGACTTAAGTATTAAGTAGGAATCTAAAGGCTTGTTCTCATTGCCAAGCAATCAATTTTCCTGCAGGAGCAGCTCATTGGCTTCCTGAAGCAGACAGCTGGACTACCTCCAGCAAGGACTCAAGTTGCTGGCCACAGATGAGAGTGTGCCTCCCCCCCATGTGTTTAGAGTCAGTCATACCACAGTGGAGCCTCCACAAAAGCAGACTGACGGGGAGCTGGGGTTCGGCTCAGTCAGTGCTTACCATGCTGGCCTGCAGACTTCAAGTTGATCCCAGGAACTACAGTTGTTGTGTTTGCTGAGAAAGGAGAACCACTGGTGTTCATAGGCCAGCTCATCTAGCTGAATTAATGAGCCATGGGTTCAGTGAGAGGCCCCACCTCAAAAAAAACAAGATGGTGAGCAACTAAGGCAGACAACCAATGGTGACCTCTGCACATACAGGTGAACATGCATACAAAAGCATGAACACAAGCTTGTCAAAAAGAGGGGCTCAGGCTAACACCACTTATGCGATAGTGGCAATAGTCACCTCCTTGGTTGGCAGGCATGATCGCCTTCCTGTAAGGCAGTCCTGGTATGTGTCAGCCCATCAATGGCTTCTTCCCATAACCTTTGTGAATCCCAGTTCAGTATGGAGAGCTGAGACCCAGGTTCTTAGCATTCTTTAAAGTGTTCTCTTCTGAAGCCCCTGTGTTCTTTCAGCTCTCAGACACCACAGCCCACTGGGATTGGTTTTCCAGAGGGCTCTGCTTCCTCTCACTTCTTCCCAAGATTGCTTTACTTACTTCTGTGCTTTGCATGTTGGTTGTTCCTAAAGAGTCCTGTAGGTAAGAGTTATCTCTGGCTACAGAGCAGGGACAGCGTGATCCTGGGTCATCTGTAGGCATAATTCACAGCTCTGAAAGGCTAGGACATAAAGTCCCCAAGAATAAGTTCAAAGGATGCTGCCATTAAAACCCCATATATCTCACAAGATGCAGAGGGAAGGGCCTGCACATGCTTGAATTATAACTCACCAAAGGTATATATGCCCATGCCCAGGCCACTACATTCTATGAAGATGAGAGAATTTGGTGATAGGATGTATGCAGGTGTGACTGAGCTCAGGAGATAGAAACTTTCTCTATTACCTGGAAAGCCCCAACTCTCATACAATTTTTATGAAAGAAGTAGCACTCCACTCAAAGACAGGCAAACACTGGAGTGGTGTCCTGTAAGCCAAAGGGCACATGACTTCAGTGGGAGCACGGCCCTGCCCATACCTTGATCTCAGACCTGGAGCCTTCAAAAGTGAGACAGGATACATTGATTAAACATGCTTGTGGTTATTTGTCATAGTAACTGTGGAAAAGTAAAACAGAAGTTCAAGCTGCTGACCACTACAGAAAGGTATTGTTGGGAGATCATACACAAGGAGAAGATATGCTTTCTGAGCAGGAGTCCTAGGGCCAGAGAAGATGAACATACTGGTGCCCTGTGTGCTTTCCTAGCACAGATCTGACTGCTGAACTGGTGGTGTCAGCCATCTATTCTAGAAATGCAACAGGAACACAAGAGCAGACTGCTCGCACTTGACCTGAGAGTTAAGTTTGGGTCATCTATAGCAGGCCCAGCGTCGCTCTCCTGCTCCTGATGGTCCATGGAGGGTATCATGGGAAAGACAAGGTGACAGGGTGCAGGCTGACATCATCCCCACTGAGTGTGGCCAGACACACGGTTCATTTGACAAAGTCCCAAATAACACCTGAGATCAACTGCCTTTCTCCTGGGGAAGGAATGCAAGTGTGTATCCCTTCCATCTTGATCTGAAGATGAGTGGCATTGTGGCATTGTCCTAGCATTAAGGAGAATTCCATTCCCACATGGCCCTGCCTAGAGGCCATGCTACCCTGATTCATTGCTAGAGCTAGCTCTGCCTACATATGCAGGCCTTTCTGATTATCTACATGCTGGCCTGTCCAGAAAGCAAGAATTATTCCTCAATTAAAAACGAGTCCATGAAGGGCTTTGAACATATCTCCATGAAAAAAAAAATAAGGTTTTCTTTCTCTCTACTTATATGTGTGGGTGTGTATACAAATATATACATATACATACACATGTATGCTTAGACATACACATATAGAGAATATGTAGATATTGGTGTATATGTGTGTAT